GGCCGTACGTTTTCGAATCGAGTAACACGATTGGTCGAAATCCTACTGTTACTGTTACGAAAAAGTGTGTGTGGCCAGCTTTACTCCTGTCGACCCTGATCAGTCTTAAGCCCGGTCTACAATGGATGTTGTAAGTCGTAAGTCGTAAGAATTGGCCAATCACAGTGCATTATTCTTCGACCGCAAGGAGAATAATGAACTGTGATTGGTCAATTCTTAGGGCCAAAGCACATATGACAGTCGTAGTCGTGGACGTAAGTAACGCACAAGCTTTGGCGTATCTTGATTTGTCAGGTCGAGGACTACGACCGTCGTATATCGCTACGCCATGTTATGTGCTTTGGCCCTTACGACTTACGACTTACAACAGCCATTGTAGACCGGGCCTTTTAATCGGAGACTGTGAAATTAGCCCTATAAATCTCAATTAGTGAATCCTTTGCTCCGATTGGTTAAATTTCAATTCAATCTTAGGCTGGTATTCATAGTCGGATCTTATTTCGAGACCGTCTTAAGCCTAAGCTACATCTATCGTAATGTTCACCGTAAGCTCATCGTAACGGTCGTAACGCTCGTCGTAATCGCTATCGTAAGCTCATCGTATGAGTTGATTCAGCTTGAACTCTTTACAATTACGACGCTTGTCTGGCGTTACAACATAACCTAACCTGTCAGCTTTTTCGACGTGCGAAGAAAAATGTGTTTATAGATAAATTGGCATAGATATACGGTTTACGACGACTTCATTGCTTACGACCACGATCAAAGCGTTACGATAGATGTAGCCTTACCCTTATGCTAGGTCTACAATGCGAGTCGTAAAGTCGTGAGTCATAAGAATTGACCAATCACAATCGAATTTGAGGAGAATAATCGACTGTGATTGGTCAATTCTTACGACTCACGATTTTACAACTCGCATTGTAGACCTAGCATTAAGTATTAAGATGCTAAAGGTGGAAGCACATAAAATTGCAGGAGCCATGAGCAGAATGCAGAAGCCATATGCGCATGCGCTGTGGTATCTGTAGAGCTCTACAAATACCATAGCGCATGCGCATATGGCTTCTGCATTCTGCTCAAGGCTCCTGCAATTTTATGTGCTTCCACCTT